GTATCCCTTAATCTAAACCCATTAACACCTAAAATTAGCCATCACAAGTCCAGTCATTGCCAGCTTGGCACCTATACACATCTCCTTAAACCACACTTAATCTCCAAATAATGACAATAACAAGGTCATAGTTCCACCTAATATGATACAACTATCAGACCCTCATGTCTGCGATGGAACGTATGGATGGACAACTTCGCATGGCCACACCCTGGGTGAGGACAGAGGACAATCACAGCTTGCATAGGGGTGCGAGGCCAGTTAGTTAATGACAGACACTGACCGCTGGCTCCCTGGCTATGGGATCGGGAAGCCCCCACTTAAGTGTGCTCACGAGCCTTCCCAGCCCCAGCCCCCAAGAGAAGCAGCCCACTCCCTCTCAGGATCTCAGCGGCTTCACTGTGCCTTACAAAGTGGTAACGACCTCCCCTTCCCCCTTCACACATCAGTTCCTGCTCTGCCCGAACCTGATTTTGTCCCTGGTTTGTCTCTTAAATCAGTTGTGTTTGTCAGTTAGGCAACTGGCTCTTAAATATTTGAACCGAGACTCTGTTTTGGGGGTGGGAGATTAAAAACCCCTGCATTGGGCAGGAGTTTTTCAGGGCAGACCAGTGACCTCGCTGGCACTGCTTTGTCATATTTTGCATACTAAATGTCAACAATTGAACACTTTACAGATTCATGATTTAATGTAAAATCATCATGCGTGGAGCTAAAATATTCCTAGGGAGTAAAATTTCATAAAATTCATTATAGAGCATTCATACACTAATACAAATTGATTGAAACAAATTCCATACTTCCTTTCAGAAAAGCTGAACTGGTGTTGCAATAGTCACTTTGTCTCTGTGGCTGGCAACAGAGAGGTATGAACTTCGAGCAAAATGAGTACAGCTCTCAAAATATCACCAACGCCAACCTGGAATCAATCCTAAAGGGTTTTATTTGACCAAAACAATGCTTAACTGAATTTAGAATTTAACCACTTCAGTACAAGTGTCAACTATAGTCAACAGCCACAGATGAAGGCGCACAGCCGAGCATCGACTTTAGTCGACAGCCAAAAGCTTTTACTTTTACAGTTTTTATCTCTGCGGTTGCAGTGTGTCCGTTCAGCTAATAAGTTACTACAAATCTGTGACCTTTTAACAAGTCCTTAGTAGGATGTTATTATAGTTATTTTCCTAAAGCTGCCTGCAAAGTGACACGAGCTTTCAGTGCTTTAAAGCTTTCCTCATCACACAAGAGCAAGACGGATTCGTCGTCAATGCGCAGCAGACCACCGTGCGGACTGTGAGTGCGGCTGTGGGCGAGGTGTCCGGCCATGAGCGCCGCACCTGAGTGGCTAACTAAACCACAGCATTATTGGCATCACCTTTAACTTCTCAGAGATAAAGCTTCAACCTCTAATGCCTCAGACTACGGTCCTAATTTAAAAATTAATAATTAAATGCAAAATTAATGAGAGGTTTCGATTTTGAAAGATTATTTTTTCAGTTCTCATCGAAAAGTTCTGTTTTAGTAAGCTGCTAAAACAAACCTTGTTAGATACTGCATAAAATTAACAAGTATTTTCATTTTCACATTGGCACCTCTGTCAACTCTCCACCTTCCTGGGCAACAGGGCAGCAAAGCAGGAGGAGCCTCAAAGATTGGGCGCGTGTGGGCTGCAGGCCGTGTCTGCAAGGCCAGGAAGGGCCGTCCCAGTCCTGCTTCCTCTGTGTCGAGGAAGCAGCACCTGCCTGCTTATCTGTCCCCAACTGTCAAAACAGCACAGATGTCCCGCAAGGGCAGGGGCAAACACAGAAGGTCGCCTCTGGCTGTGATTCGCTGAACCACGCTGGCGGCAATCCTGCAGCCGGGAGCCTCTCTGAGCTCCCAAGACTCCGCCCAGGCCTGGAGGCCAAGGGGAGGACGCCACTGTACCTGCCCACCCTGCCTAAGGCTTGGGGAGACCCAGCTCAAAGTTACTGGTTCAGAGGACAACTGCTCATCTGCACAGCGGAAGCAGGTGCGGAGCGCTGAGGCTGGCAGAGGATATGGAGGAAGACAGGCTGCAGGCTCCAGAGGGGCGCGGGTGCCCCTGCCTGCTTCCCTCTGCGCTGGGCCCACGGGAAGGCGAAGCAGAAGAGAACATGTTCTGCAGACACTCTGCTTAACCCACCACAAATTCCCCAATGCAGGGGCACCTGCACCCCTGCAGGTCCTCGCCCACCTGTAGGGAAAATCTGCACAGCTGAGTTCAGGGCCTGAGGAAAATTGGCCTGGAAAATATTAACAAGAAAGTGAGGGGGCCAGTGCCCTGTCACTGCCTCAGTTCTCAACTGGGGACGGGAGTTCTCTGCTTAAACCTTTCTCTGACTTGTCAAAGTGACTCCTTCCCAGTTGACGCCAGGGAAGTGGCTTCTCAAACCTGCTTACCTGTGAAGCAAAAGGTCCATTATTTTACAGTAAATATGGGCTGTACCTAAAAGCATTCGCAGATCCTATATGTCTTTCATTGTGTTTGACATTACAACCAGGAGAAGGAGAAATGTTAAGCAAGGGAAAAATGGGTAAAGCAGTTGCAGCTATAGGTGAGGCTTCCTTCCCTTGCAGTTCCAGGACCCCTGAGGCTTCCAGAAGCCCCACCAGTTTCTCCGTTGCCCGCCAGCTCCTCTGGCCCACATGAAACTCCTCATACCACCCCCCCCCCAGCACGCAGTATACTAGAGGAAGCTGCACCCACAACCCTGGTGTCTCCAGGCCCTGGAATCATGTCCAGGCACCTGCTGGGATGCGGCTCAAGGTTGAGACACATCACAAGGACGCACTGTCAGGTTTCCACACCGTCGTGCCTGGCTTGGCGTCAGGAAGTGTATTCATAGCAAATAGAAAGAAAAATATTTTAATAGATTTTTGATTCTAACTCAACTCTTTGGACCAACGACAGAAGCATAGTCCGAAATTGCCACAGAAAATAAAAACACGATTCAGCTTCAGAGCATGTGTCACCCTAAGCCTGGTGAGCTTGCAAGACAGCTTCTTTTTGAAGGTAAAAAATGAAAAATCATTTTTAAGAAATTTTATTTTCTTAATCCAAATAGTTAAAGTAGAAAATGACAATTCCTACAAAGAACTAGCGTCAAAGAGCCACTTAAAACTTCTTGCATATAAGAAGTTTAAGAAAAGCATATGTCACCTTCATTATTTCTGAGTAAAAATGCAGCAAGTCTTCCCTGAACAGTTACTGAGTTTCAAGCACTTACATAGTTTTCACATTTAATTTTCACAACCCAATCAAGGTAGGTCCCATTTTTTTACCCATAGTACACAAGGGAACTGTAACTAGATATTTAAGCGACACTCCCAGGAAGGCCACAGAAAAAGAGGCAAAAAGAACCTACGGCACCTGGTATTCCCGGTGGTCTCCCATCCAAGTACTAACCATGCCCGACCGTGCTTAGCTTCCAAGATCAGAGGAGACGGGCGCCTCAAGGGCGGTATGGCCCTAGACGGCACAGGGCGCCCCTGAACGCCTCGAGACCGAGCTGCTACGTCCCTGCACCTGCTCCCGCCCACAGCCCCGCGCCAGCGCCAGCGCTGACCGGGGCAGTGAGGTCCCGCCCAAGGCTGGGCTCCGTGGGACAGGAGTGTTGGGTGGGGCGGGCTGTCCCCGCACAGGATGCGCTCCCACGGGCCGCCAAGCGCCGTTTGCCCCAAACCACAGGCGCAGCACTGTCCCGCTGCACCGCGGGGCGCCTGAGGCCCCGTCTGGCGGGAGGGTGGCCCCTCTGCCCCGGCCTCCCAGACGCTCTCCCGGAGGGGACACTAGGGCCCTCCCCATGCGGGACTGACTCCTGCCAGCCCACCTTCCTCCCCGCACCTTCCCCCTCCTTCCTCCCCCCCCACACCTTCCCTCCCACCTTACCCCCACCTTCCTCCCCGCACCTTCCCCCTCACCTTCCTCCCCGCACCTTCCGCCTCCTTCCTTCCCCCTAACCACCCCCCTCCTTCCCCCCCCCACCTTCCCCCCCACCTTTCCCCTCACCTCGCCCCCTTCCCGCACCTTTCCCCCTCCTTCCCCCCCACCTTCCTCAGGGGCCTTGGTGCTCCCCTCATGCCCACCGCCTGCCCCTCCGCCTTGCCCCTGCCAGCCCTATCTGGCCATGCCCACCGAACGTTCCAGCGCAGCCGCTGCCCTTCTACCGGAGGCCCCTTGCCGCCCTGCACCCACGCCCCGCGCCTCGAGTAACCCCCCACCACAAAGACCGTGGCGGCCGCGTGTGCCGTTGCCCCACCTTAACCTGGCGCTTCCGTAGACCACCTGGCCCTACCCGGGGTGTCGGGGCAGGGGGAGACCGAGGGGCGTGCCGGTCAGCCAGCTCGCGCCACCCACCATCCCCCACCCAAACTCTCAGACACGCCGCCAACCCCCGCTGGACACCCGGACGCCCCGCCGTCCCCCACCCGGACGCGCCGCCGTGGGGTCGGAGGGCCAGAGCGCGAGCGGAGACGGCCCTTCCCCCAGCCGGGGCGCGGGCGGCGGGACGTCGGCGTTTCCAGACGTTGGCAAAGCGCTTTCCAAAGGGCTGCATTCGAGTCCGCAGGAGCGCAGACGCGGCCAGTCCCTGGCGGCGGGGACAGCCTCCCTTTCTGGTTATTTCGGTTCTGTGCCCCAGGCGCCCGCCAGGGGAGGCCTTCTCGTCTACACCACCGCCTCCGGGGTTCCGGCGCCGTCGCCCCGGATCCTGACTCGACCCGGTGCTCCGCACTGCTAACTGCCACGCCGCAGGAGGCCCTGGAGCCCCGCGGCTCCCACGGGGGAAGCGGGGTCGCTGGGGCTGGGCTCCCTCCAGCGCCGCCCTGCCTGCTCCGGGAGGGCGGGAAGAAGGCGGGCTGGTCCACGCCAGCTCAGCAAGGAAAAGGGCTCCGCGGGGACCCCTGCCCTCCCAGCCGTGCGCCGGGGAGTCGGCCAGGCTAGGCTGAGGGGACGGGCGGCCAGCAGCCCTACCTTCCAGCGCGCTACGCGAGGCTCCGGCGCCCGCCACTTCCGCGCTCGGCGCACGTGCCTGGCCGGCGGCGCCGCGGGCGGCGAGGCTGCCACCAAGCATCCGGCCGCCCAAGCCCCGCGGGGCCCGCCCGGCGACGCGGCCTGGGGCCTGCGCCCGTCGCCCCGGGGCGCCCCCACGCGGGGAAGTCAGAGAGCTCGGGGACCTGGGCGTGTCTGAGGGCCCGGGAGGGAGCGCGGGGGTGCGGCGTGCAGGACGGCGCTGTGGCCCGAGACTGGCCGCGCCGCCCTGCGGAGACCCAGCCGGGTGGGGGCACAGCTGCGGGGCGGACACCCCATCTCTGCCCCTGGGGCCTCCCCTACGCGGCCGAGCGACGCGCTGGCCCGGAGTCCAGAGGTCGGAGCGGGAAGGGCCGCCGGGCCTGCAGGCGGCGCCGGGACCGACCTCGCGGCAGCCCGGGGCGCGGGCCTGTACAGTGGGAAGCGGGCCTGAACGGTGGGGCGCGGGCGTGTACATCCGGCACGGGGCGCGGGCCTGTACAGTGGGACGCAGGCCTGTACGGCGGGGCGTGGGCCTTTACATCCGGGCACGGGGCGCGGGCCTGTACAGTGGGAAGCAGGCCTGAACGGTGGGGCGCGGGCGTGTACATCCGGGCGCGGGCCTTTACATCCGGGCACGGGGCGCAGGCCTGTACATCCGGGCTCGGGCCTTTACATCCGGGCACGGGGCGCAGGCCTGTACATCCGGGCGCGGGCCTGTACAGTGGGGCGCGGCCGGGGGTCCGCCCGCCCGGTCCAGAGCGGACTGGGGACTGGGCCCCACTCCCGCTCCCCCGCGGCCTGGCCTCGGCCCCACGCGGCGCCCACACAGCAGGCGCCCGGGAGCGCCAGGGCGAGAGGGCTAGGGTTGGCTTTCACAGGGCGGCCCAGGGCTCACTGGAAAGAAGGCGATCCTCCGACGTCGTGGCTTATGCAGAGCTCATGCGGAGGACTTGGGCCGAAAGGTAAACGTTTCCGCGTTTGTTCCAGTAAAACCGACAGGACCCAAGTGTCCGGCGGGGTGTCTGCCGCGTGGACCGGATTCGGACGAGGCCGGGCTCCTGGGAGGCCGGGCGTGTCGCGCCGAGGCAGCGTCTTCCTGACCGGCCCGTGGTGATGACGCGTCGCGCGGCGAAACGGCCGTCTGTGGGGACCGGCCTCGGCCGTCTGTGGGGACCGGCCTCGGCGCTCCGCTGCTCGCCCCTCCGGCCCGTCCGGAAACTGTCTTCCGTTACCCTGGGAAGCGGCGGGAGGCGAGCGTGTTTACGGCCGCCCCCATCGCTCGCATCACCGCTTGAGCCCTGCCTAGCCCCCACCCCGGCCGTGGAAAAACTCTTCCGTGAAACCGGCCCCCGTGCCAAAAAGGTTGGAGGTCGCTGTGTTGTAGGACAGTTTGAGTGATACAGTCCATTTGGAAGTGGAGATAAAATGATGTATGCAACATTGTTGAACCCTGGTTGCCACTATGGGTGATGGAATCTTTAGTTTTAGTACGTTTATAGACACTTTAATTTTCATGTTTTTGTTTATCTACATTTTGTAATTTTTATAAAATATAAATTTCCGGTTTTCTATTTTTAAACTTCTTTTCAAGGAGTGGAAAGGGAAGACAGGACAGCAGGGATAGGGGAAGCAGTCCTGACTGCCCAAGTGTGCTGAGGCCTCAGCAACCCTGACCTGGGTGGAGAGCAGACCAGAAATTAGAGGTCACCTGCAGCAAACTCTTGATGCAGTCACAGGCTGTTTCTCTGGGATACACTAGATGGTGTGTCCTAGACATAGAAGAGAAGAGAGCAATACTCCTGATCACTCTTCACCCATTAAGCACCAATGAATTTAAAAACTCAATGCAATCTAAAATGTCAAAGTCCCTACATTAATGAATTTAAATGAATTCAACAATTTTTTATTTTTTTAGAGACGGGGTTCTTGCTGTATTTCCCACACAGGTCTTGAACTCCTGGGTTCAAGCGATCTTTCTGCGACAGCCTTCCAAGTAGCTGGAACTATAGGCATGTGCCACTGAGCTTGACTGAATTCAACAAATTTTATGATCCTAATTCATTGTTATAAAATCAGTTACTTTTTTTCTTTTCACTGCTATTTGCTGAACACTCAATATGTCCCAAGCAAGAGGTTATTGATTACCAACATTGTTTTATTTGAGCCTTCCAATCAGCCTCTGAGCAAATCTTGAAACACTTTCCAGAGTGGCCTACCTTAATCATTAGGCTTGAAAGTCTACTTTTTAAAAAAATATATAGAATGCTTTACTAATTTGTATGTCATCCTTGTGCAGGGACCATGCTAATCTTCTCTGCATCATTCCAATTTTGTGCTGCTGTGCACAGAATATGCTGCTGAAGTTTAAATTCTGGGTGTTTTGAATCAAGACAAGTTTATAAGCTCCACTTTTAATGGCTAGGTCTTTTAAGGCTAGATCTTTCCAACAGAAGGCAGTGCCAAAATGTAACAATCAATGCCTGTTGGAGGTATAGTTGTCTCTCCTTTCCACACTCTGTGATGGGATGTTAGATCTGCTCTAAGGCATCTTTAATCACTATTTCTAGATGTTCCATCCTCTTCTGGACCAGGTTACATGGGATGAGCTCCCAGTTCAGTTACTTGATTCATAGCAAATGTGACCTTGGGTAAGTTACTTACTGACCATCCCTATTGCTTCTCTCTTTGGTAAAATAGGAATGATAATAAGGCCTCTTTCTTCATGCAATTAGAATAGAGTCAATACTCAGTAAGTGCTATCTTAAGTCATCTTGATTTTGTTTACTATCTATACTGTTTATTTTTAACACATTCAAAATCTGGCAAGTTCTCCCTCATTACTTTTACGTTACAGAAATTTCCTGGCAAGCCTTACACTTTTCTCCATCGTAATTAACTGAACACTTTTTTTTACTCCTGATCCATAGAAAGCTGGAAGACCATTTAGATATGTGCCTGTAGTCCCAGATACTAGGTAAGCTAAGGCTCGCTTGAGTGGGCAAGTTTGAGATTATAGTGAGCCATGATCATGCCACTGCACTGCAGCCTGGGTGACAGTACAAGACCCTATCTTAAAAAAAATAAAAAGAATAAAAGTGTATTTTAGGGTGTTATGTTGTAGTATTCTATGGTGATATTTTGGGGTGGCATATTCTTGTCTCCTGCATTGTCTTCCAAATGACTGTACCATTATGCATCCTACCAGCATTTTAATGATATTTCCTGTCTTTCACGCAGCAATGGTTTGTCATGTTTGTAGAGTTTAGCAATCGTGAAAGGTGTACTGTGCTCATTGTTCTTGTAGTTTGCTATTCCCTAATGACATATGATGTTAATCATCTTTTTATGATCATTTGCCATTTGTGTTTCTTCTTTGTTGAGGTGTCTGTTCAGATCTTTACCCATTTTTAATTGGTTTTCTTGTCTTCTTGTTGATTTTTAGAAGTTCTTAGCATATTTCTAATATAAATTATTCTCCAGATATGTATTTTTGAAATATTTCCTATCAGCCTGAAGCTTGTGTTTTTGTTCTCTGAACATGGTCTTTCACAGAGTATACATTTTTAATATTATAACATCCATGGAATGAATTATTTTTTTGCTGTGGATCAGCTTTTGGTGTGTGTGTGTGTGAAAATTCATTACTAAATCAAAGGTCCCCTAGATTTTTTTCTAGAATCTTTATAGTTTTGTATTTTAAGTCTGAGGACTATTTTGAGTGAAATGTTTTGTGGAAGTTGTAAAGTTTATGTCTATACTTATTTCATTGCATATGTTTTCCCATTAATTCTTCCATCCCTCGCCCTTTTTCTAAAAGACACAGGGTGACAAGCCCCATCTCACTTTGAATTTGCAGATCATGGCACTGAATAATCTCAACTCTGAATTTAAATGGTTCCACAGCATAGCCAGGAGGGGGCGCTCGCCACCGCGCTGGGAGCGCCAAAGGCTGCAGTGGCCGGGCTGCGAGCAGGCGAAGGAGCACCGGTCCTGCCCTCTGACATCTAGCCCTGCGCGGGAGGAGGCGTGGCCGCGGCGCCCTTAGTGCAGCCACACAGGCACCGCCTAGCTCACAGCTGCTCTGGCCTGTCCAGAGACACAGACCTTCTTGTCCCCGGACCTGAGGCCCCAAGCTGAGCTCCTGAGAGCGAGCGAGGCCTTTCCGTCCGTCCCCCAGAGCTGAGGCACCGAGGGCCAGTGAGGCTGTTTCTTCCCCAGAGCTGAGGCACCGAGGGACAGAGAGGCTGTTTCTGGGCTGAGGAACCAAGGGGACAGTGAGGCTGTTTCTTCCCCAGAGCTGAGGCACCGAGGGCCAGTGAGGCTGTTTCTTCCCCAGAGCTGAGGCACCGAGGGACAGTGAGGCTGTTTCTTCCCCAGAGCTGAGGCACCGAGGGCCAGTGAGGCTGTTTCTTCCCCAGAGCTGAGGCACCAAGGGACAGTGAGGCTGTTTCTTCCCCAGAGCTGAGGCACCGAGGGACAGTGAGGCCTGCCCGGCTTCAGTCTCGAGGCACCAAGAACCCACGAAGCCTTCCTGCTTTCAGATCTCAGTCCCTGAGGGTGAGTAAGGCATTCTCCACCACAGACCTGAGGATTGTAGAAGACCTGCTGTATAACTTTAATGATATTCATTTAGTAATGAGACTATTCTCAAAAGTACTATACAATACACTTAACATAAAATGTATTTGTACTTAAGTATTATATTACTGTGAATACGTTTATTCTTTAAGTGAGGAAGAACTCTACTGTTCATAGTAACGTGAAATTGAAGCCATTTTTATAGGTCAAAGAAATTGAATATTGGAATTTTTTTACGACTCAACCTCATAGCATTGGTCTTCAGATTCTCTGAGTCAGATTTTGGAAAAACAAAAGCAAGGCCAGGCACAGTGGCTCACACCTGTTACCCCAGCACTTTTCGAAGCCAAGATGGGAGCTTTCCTTGAGGCCAGGAGTTCAAGACCGTAGCAAGACTTTGTCTCTACTGGAGCTGATGCCATGACCCGTTTGCAGGACGGGTGATGAACACAAAACACAAAGAGACACAAAAAGAAAGACACAGACACACACAGAGACAGTACAAGTGCAGTGCAGAATGCACCAGTCGTTTTATTTTTATACTCTAAAAATCAAAGTTACTTCCTTATACGTGACCACTCAGACGTTGCAGCAGTGGCCATAAATTCTGGAACACATAGCCTAGGGACACAGATGTCCCCTGACTCAAGGTTCCCACGCAGTTGCTCAAAGCATAGGTCACAGGCTGAGATAAGCAAAGTTAAGCAAGGCAGCCACAGGGGGCACTTGCCATCCCCAGTTCCTCCTGGCCGCCTCCCCTCCACCCCCAGAAGCTGTGCCTGTCTTAGGTTGTTCCTCCTTGAGGAATGTTACCTGCCATTGTCTATCAAGCCATCTTACAGGGCCAAGCAACAATAATAGGAACAATGTGCTTATCGTGTGGCCTCCAGGCCCCTATTAATGTGGGGCTGGGCAGCTCTTGCCCATTTGCAGAAACTCAGACCCTTTGTTATGCCTCTAAGCAGCAACTTTGTTTGTTACATGGATCTTGTTTGTTACACATTACTCTTAAGACGTTCTGGGCAGGGCACATACGCTATTTACTAAATTTAACTCTAAGCTGGATAAGTATTTTGTTAATACCCAACAAGCTGAACAGAAATCAATAGTTTTAATATACATTTAGGAGGTAGAACTAACAGATCTTGTTGGATAAAATTGGGGGGGTGAGGGAAATGAATAAAAAAAGTATAGCTCCTGAATTTTTGGTCCAAGTACTGGGAGGATAGTGTTGCCATTTGGAGATGGAGAATATTTGGGGAGGAACAGGTTTAAGAACAAAATCAAGAGTTTTATTTGTGATGTTAACTTTGAGTTATGCCCAAAACATGCAAGGAGAAGTACTAGATAAGTAGGCGGGTAGGCGTCAGGAGCTTGAGAGAAAGGTGTGCACTGGTGACATGCATTTGAGAGTAGTCAGCATGTAGACGTCAGGATGTAGTTGAATGCCTTCCGAGAGTGTAGATGGGGAAAAGACAGACATCCAAACAAAAGCCCTGTTAGAAACCTAAATATTAATAGAATAGAAGGAATCTGCAAAGAAGACCAAGAAGTTGGCTTGTGAAGAAGGAGGAAAACTAGTTTTGTGTGGTGTAAAGAAAGTGAAAGAAGAAAATGTCTTGATTGTGGACCATGATCTATCGTGCCAAGAGTTGCTGAGAGAGCAAATAGAGGAAGGCGATGGGACCTTTGGAGCTCATTGGTGGCAGAGCAGTCTCACCGTTGGGGTGAGATGAGGCCATGGTGGTGTTAGAATGTTGATGGCGTCCCCTACTTCAGAAAAGAAATTTAAGAGAAAGACTTGTGTATGTTTGAGAGTCATCCTCGTTGACCAGGAGGCGAGGTTACAGGGAAATGTTTGGTAAAGGTGACTTAAGGCTCTATCTGTTACTTCTGTCCAGTTCTGTTCTGTGCTTGTGTCTGTGTCCCTCCATTAGTGTGAACAATGAAAAATGTTAGCTCTTTCTGTCGGACAGCGATGGCAGCATATTTATTAACTAACATATATTGTTTCCCCACAGGGACTCTATAATATTTAGATATTAGCACTGATATAAAATGTGTATTTTTATATTCATAAATTTATTAAAAAATTTAGGGACAAAAGCTGGGCTTTGTTTTTTAAAATCCTGAGTATTACCAAGCACAGAGAAGAATCACAGAGGTAGTGAGAATGCCAATGTGTTTAGGCAAACTTTGAAAATACAATATCTGAGTTTAATTTCAGTCACTAATCTGGATGATTGTTATTCAAATTCAATTCAGTACCCATCATGCCCCTATGTTGTGTGTACTGGGGTAATGCACACCCCTGCAGGACATACATGATGTATGTATGTACATACATCTGACACATACTAGGTACCAAGTAAGCAGTAGCTGTTAGGATTATTGGGCACCTAGTGAGCACTTAATAAAGATTTATTTGAAAAGATAATAAATAGACAAAATGGGACTTTATTATCAATACTTAAAATTTCAGTTCTCACTAAACTAAATAAGCTCTTTAGCTGGAACCACTTTTATAGAAGACAGAAAACAGTGGGAGAGAGGGGATTTCTTGGCATAATATTCCATGTCACTGTATAATTAAAGCAAAGGCAAAACTTTTAAAGCTAAGTAAGTTAAACGTTAGCATACTTGACACTTGCAATTTTAAATGCCAAAATCCCAAACATGCCTGTATGTGCAGAAGTGGAATTTTTTATACTGTTTAAATTAATTAAAGTCATAAGTGATTTTTTTCATCCTGTTTTTATTCCTCCATAAAATGTACACTCACCAGGGATTACCAGTTCTTTGTCTTGTTGAAAACAAGGAAGCAGTATTATGTATTCAATATTTCTTACCTTAATAAGCATCGTCTTCAAGGTGCCCTTATTCTCATGTAAAAATGTCACGGAAGTGCTTTATAAGACACAGGGGTCACATTTTTGTTGAATTAAATACATTCTGGGGGTATAATTTTTCAGTACCTCTAACCCTGGTATTTTCTCTTCCGGATTTCTGATCAAACCTCTTGATACAACTGGTAAAGTCCCCTTATGTCTCAGTGAAAAGTAAAATATAAATAAAATGAATATTCCTGGTAACATAAGTGCACAGGAATTTTTATCTACTGCTTTAGTGGCTCTAAACTCATAGACAGTGCATTAATCCAAATTATGTGGTAGAATCACATCAGTATTAAAGGTCTATTTCAGTGTGTTAAGTTGGCCTAAATGATAACAGAGGTTCTCAGGAAACATGTCGGTGTGGAGAGTGAGGCTAACTATTTGCTCTTCATGCCAGCATCAGCAGAAGGGCTGGGAATGTGCCCACCCTTGTGCTTCAGCCAATGGCAGTGATGCTTGATGAAGGAATTTTCTACTGTCTCGTTAATTGTAGTACTGGTCTCAGAGAATTTATTCAGAACTCACTGCTATATTTAAGTTGAATTAAATATAACAAAAGAAGCTTAATAATATTTCATTTCATCGTTGAATCTGTTAAGTTAAAAAAGGATTTCCTCTCAACTTTCAGGGTTCACCTTTATTTGAAATTGCATTTTCCTTCTTTGCAGTGGCATTCCAAATCAGTAACGTTGTCATTTTTGAAAGGCTGACATCATAGAATTTCTTCATCTCCAGATATGGCCAAAGAAAGAAAAAAAAAACACAGTATGTGTTTTTAATTTATTCATTTTAATTTGTTCCTTTCCAGTGGTTCAAGTAAATTCTTAAAGTAGCAAAACTACTTGTTTGCTAATTTTTTATTTTTTCTATTTGCTGGAGGTTTTACTGAATGGTCTTCTATTTATGGCCTTTAGGATAGCAATGTCAGTGGTTCAGGATAATTTAGCTATTGAACAGCCAGGGCAATAGCTTAAGATGATGGAGGGAGTAGAAAAAGTGATTTTTGGTGGACACTAACTATAACTTTAAGTAGGTTTATTTTATGAATAAAAGTGCTTGCTTTAGTAGGAAAAAGACTCTATACAGTAGTCTGCTCTTTTAATTCTTAACTGCATATTATTTATGACTTTTTTATTAGCAGCTTTCACCACTGCATGTGTTAGCCTATGAAGTCTGCTGTGATCCTGGGGAGAGACTGATATGAAAGCAGACAGCCTTTCTAGAATTTAGGTAACATAGTTAGATTCTAGAAGTTTACCAAGGTATTACAATTTCTAGAAGATAAATTTTTAGAGTGTGTGTTACTAATTTATAATTTTGTGAAAACATGACTGAAATTTAATAGGTGGTTTATTTTTTTGTTCTCTCATTCTCTCCCCAGCTATTTCCCTTCAGCACAAAGATGTGGGCTGCCAAGCAGGGGTTTTGCGATGGGCTTGTCCAAGTGGGGAGGGCATGAGAGGGTCCAAGCTGCTGGCATCTGTGCAGGCAGGGGACCAGAGCCGACCTCTGGGTGCCACCCCCAGGAAGACCTGCTCAGAGGGCCCTCCTCGACTCACACGTTTCCTATAGAAGCCTAAATAAGAAAATTAACACATTTACATACAATAGAATTCCATGTTGCATCCTTCATGCAAAACGAGAGCAAGGAGAAAAATGTTTTTTCTCCAGATTGTCTTCCCCGTTTTCTATTTTTTCTTTGCTATGGCAGAGACACCACTCATACGTAAAATTCCACTTCTGTAAGGTGTTGCAGCTTGTTAAAGACTCAGCATTACGCTACAGGTGTGAAAACCTGACAGAATCCGACCAAGAGCGGGTGAACTTCTGGCTGCACAATCACTGCGTTTTCTCTGGCTGCCTCGCTTTCTGTCCCTCCCTTCAGACCTCAATCCCTAGTGTCAGTCACACTGATCACCACATCACCGTGGACGAGGGCGAGCCACCTGGCCACTGCCAGCTCTTGGCAAGGGAGGCTTTGTCTGTGAAGTCAGCCACCTTTTTACCTCTTGGACTTGAAAAATCCATTTTCAGAGATGAAGTGAGTGTCTGTTACTAATATGATAGCTTCATAGGAAGTGTTTA